CCCACTGAACTGGAAGCCTGATGTGGGGCTCGATCCCAAAACCTGGAGATCATGACCTGAGCCAAAGGTAGACGCCCAACCATCTGAGCCATCCAAGATGCCCCAAACCCTTATGAAAATTAAACCATAGCTACCTTCAACAATACAGATCATTACTAACAATACAGTATCTTACAAATATAATGTTAAGCAAAAGAAGCCAGAAACTGAAGAATTTATACAGAATGATTCCACTGACATAAAATCAGTAACAGGCAAAAGTAAACTGTATCATTTAGTGATACATATATAAATGGGAAAACTACAAAGAAAAGGAAATGATTAACTAAAAGTTAAGGGAAAGGCTGAGTTGTGATTGGAGAGAGAAATATGGCAGCTACTGGAGTGCTCTCTATTCTACTTTTTGACCTGCATGGAGATTACACAAAGGATTGTTTTATAATTATTCATTAAGCCATTAATATGCTTTATGCACTTTTCTATGTGTATGATGAATTGTATAATAAAAAAAAGAAAAGGTGAAAATGGAGCAATGCTTGCAAAATTCTGAAAGGAAATTATTCTCAATCTAGAATTCTATACCCTTCAAAATTCTAATTTTGAGAGTTAGAGACAATTTCAAACATATGAAGGCTCAAAAAAATGTGTCACGTACATTTCTTCAGGTAACTATTTGAATAAGCCCTCCATCAAAATTATCACATACTCATAGAGAGATGAAGACCTCAGATCCAGAAAATACACCCTAACACAGAGGTACAGGAAATCACAGGGAAAATGGAAAATACCACTATTCAGAAGCTCCAGGATTACTACTGGCATAGTAGTACCAAAATAGTACCAAAGTAGTACCAGGCATAGAGGGCACTTTAACAACTGTCCTCACCTTGATGCTCCACTCCTGTACAACCTCTTCAACTGACAAAAAGTCCTGGAAGATATGTTCCACCAAGAGGGCATAAACCCGAAGAAAATAAGAAATCTAAGACACAGGACTCAGGGGTTCCTGGATGGCTTAGCTGGTTAAGCAGCTGACTCTTGGTTTGGGCTCGGTTCATGATCTCAGGGTTGCAGGATCCAGCCCCATGGCAGGCTCCATGCTCAGTGCGGAGTCTGCTTGGGATTCTCTCTCTCCCTCTCCTTCTGCCCCTTCCCCTCAAATAAATAAATCTTTTTAAAAAATAAATAAATATATATTTTTAAGGATTTTATTTATTTGCCAGAGAAAAAGAAAGAGAGAGAGAGAACAAGAATACAAACAGAGGGGAATGCCAGGCTGGGGGAGCAGCAGGCAGAGGGAGAAGCAGGCTCCCTGCTGAGCAAGGAGCCCAAGGCAGGACTCATCCCAGGATCCTGGGATCATGACATGAGCCAAAGGCAGATATTTAACCGACTGAGCTACCCAGGCGTCCCTAAATAAATAAATTTTAAAAAAATTAAAACAAACAAACAAACAAACAGGAACTCAAACCCAGGAAGAAAGGTAAAGAAAAGTTCCACAGTGATACCTGTGTAATAAGCCAACATAAGAGAATCACTAACTCCTGGAAGGATAATCTCCAAAGGTGGGGGTATTTGATGTAGCTGACTTTGTAAAAACTGAGAACCATGTGTACATGTGGAAGAATTAGCAAAAGAATAAAACTAAAGAAATGACAAAGCAAATATCAGCCTCCAGAAAAATAAAAAGAAAGAAAAGAAACAATCATAGTACAGACTATTGCTCAGCTGAGAATATTTACATGCACCAGCAGTTCTTAAAGTGTGGTCTAAAGATCCCTCAGTGACTCCTTTCAGGAATCCACGTGCACCAAACTATTTTCATAATGATCAAAGACATTTGTCTTTTCCACTGTGTTGACATTTGCACTGATGGTGTGAAAACAATGGTGGGTAAATCTGCTGGTGCATTAGGGCAAATCAAGGCAGAGCACCAACTGTATTTATTAGTAGTAGCATTCTTCACCACCTCATGCTTGCCATTTGGAGAAGGAAAAAAAGCCAACATTAAGAATGTCCTTGATAGGGGCGCCTGGGTGGCTCAGTGGGTTAAAGCCTCTGCCTTCGGCTCAGGTCATGATCCCAGGGTCCTGGGATTGAGTCCCGTATCGGGCTCTCTGCTCAGCGGGGAGCCTGCTTCCCCCTCTCTCTCTGCCTGCCTCTCTGCCTACTTGTGATCGCTCTCTCTCTGTGTCAAATAAGTAAATAAAATCTTTTTTTAAGAAAGGCTATTTCTTGTTTTGTCTTTCTTTTTTTCCCTTTATTTTATTTTTATGTTTCTTAAATTCCACATACGAGTGAAATCATGAGGTATCTCTGTCTTTCTCTGACTGACTTATTTCCCTTAGCATGATACTCTCTGGCTCCATCCATGTTGTTGCCAATGGCAAGATTTTGTTCTTTTTTATGGCTGAATAATATGCCATTGTATGTATATAAAAGTCTATTTCTTGGGGCACCTGGGTGGCTCAGTGGGTTAAAGCCTCTGCCTTCGGCTCAGGTCATGATCCCAGGGTCCTGGGAT